GTTGACCGATGAGCAAATTATAGACTCCGTAACCTCATCTACAGCTTTAAGCGATAATGAGAAAGATGACGATTTAGGTGAAACGTATTCTACTGAAGACACTAATGCTGTTCCAACCATTTGTGAAATGACAAAAAAGGTATCAGAAACTCGGCATTTTCTACAATCACGCCAAGTTCCTAATCATATCTGGGAGTCCTTTTGTGATCTTGAAAACTACATAAATAACATCTATTTTTGCAGCAGAAATGTACAAACAAAAATTACAGACTTTATAAAGTAGATTTCAAGTTGAATTTTGTTTATCTTTTTGTGTTCGTTTTAGTCATACCTACTAACTTCTACTACTCTATGTAAAAATAACGAAATAAAATACACCACGTGTTTTGTATTATTATTCGCTTATAGCTCCGGATATAACGAACCAGCTTTAGTTCATTTTTCGTTCGTTATATCGGGACTCAACTGTATTGAAGTTTGCAATACTAAGCAGGTTCATACAGGAAAGTTCCCGGCCTGCACAAGATTTTTTTGTAGATTTCTTTCGTGCTCAGAAGCACCCCAATTTGCCTTCGCATCAGCCGCCCGAATAACGTTAATGTGAACAGACAAAACAATGACTGCGCACTCATTTTGGAATAAACTTATTTCAGAAAAGTGTTGCCTTTGCCCGAGAGAATTTCCACTTTCTAGCGCCGCACAACAGGAAAATAATTTTACTGAAGCCCATTTTAGGGCTCGCATTTATTAACGAGTGCTGTGCGCCCGTCTGTCTTGTTTCCCACTTTGAGCCTGCTTTAATGCAGCCACTGTTGGCTTGGGGTTTTTAAATTCCCTTCGTAAGCTAATGCAACTTTTACGTTATTCATTAGAGCCACCCATACATGTTTTATGGGCTAATCGATAAGTTTCCCTGGCATTTAACTACAGCGTTTTCAACTGAGACAATAAAAAGTTTCCCAACACCACTTGAGCTTGAAATATTCCACCTGGCGTTTGGAGGAAGTTTTGAAACAAGACAACCAGAATGATGCAGCAGACAAACCGTGCTCGAATTCTCTGGCTAATTGCAACGAGCTTTAGAACAACAAACTGAATTTGCAGCACGGACAACAACACGTAACGCCGAAGAATTATTTTCACGTGGCCGGGAACGTTTGTTTGAGATTCATTATCCGTGTTTAGTTTCCTTTGGGATTCGATGTCCGAAGTTAATTCAGTTGAAACAGTATCAGATGAGACTGGAGGTTCTACGTAATTTTACATTAATCTTTATTGCATTTTTACAAATTTTCAATATTTTGGGGGCTATTTGAGGGCCTGCTTCCTGCTGTTTAAGTACCAGCAACGTTTCCCGAAAAATCCTTGAAATTTTGACCTTTCAACCGCTCTGCTGAGGAGAGTCTGATTGTTCGCAGCAAATTATTTATCGAAAACGTCCGTTGCACCGATCATGCACATATTTGCTGCTGGAAATTTAGCCTCCATCTCTTCGAGAGAGGTTCGAGCCTCACAATCCTGATGGTACTGAAACAACGATCGCACAGTCCGCTACTAAAGTGTTTAAATTGTCTGTACTTTCCTGACTGTGTTTCAATTCCAAATTAAAATCAAATCCTGGGCTCTTCAGTCATTTATTGTCTATTTATCAATTAAAAAAACGTCTCGGTGTTTTCCACCATCATCAGTTTCAATGTGTAGCGTTGTTGCTACTGAGAAAGTGTTTAAATCCACTTGAAAACCTGAGTGAAGTCAATTAAAAATGCGTTTAGGGATTGTACTTGAATACCAATCGTTAGAGATTAGGAGCTTTGGAGCAAAGAAGGAATTTCCAGCCAGATAAATTGCTGGGGATTTTCACTGGATATCAGGATATTTATTAATACAGCATTTCATATCGAAGATTATCGAGCACCTTGTGCCAAGAGAAACCCATTTAGTTCGCGTCGGGTCAGGGCTAAAGTGCCAATTTCCAGAATCACAAGGTCCTGATATCTGGCGATCGTATTTCGACAAAAGCGTAATGAAAGCTTCGGTATTGACGAGCGACAGCGAGCTCAGCGAGGAATCAATTAGGAAAAGCCTCTTTGCCACTCTAGCGCGCTTTTCCTCAAAAAACTCTCATGCACTGCTCTTGAGCTGTTGCCTATTTCACGCGGCGAAACATTCAATTTCCGTGGATTTATGGGCGTGAGCTCGCAGGAAAACCGCAAAAGATGAATGCCTGCAATAAAGCTGAGGGCTGTTTGAAATGAAAAATGCACTTACCATCCGGTCCGAACACACTCACATTGAAGCCCTCCAGCCCTTTGGCCAGGTACGTCATGTTGAGGGGTTGGTAGCAGGTTTCGGTAAGCACAAGTAGAGGTTGGGGAGGTTGGAGGGAAGCCAGAGGGACAGCGCAGGCCAGCAACCCCAACAAGTACAGGCCTGCCATTTTTCCCTCTT